TGTTTCAAGAGTAAATAAAACCTAAATTAAGAGTAACAAATATTTTTATTTCTTGTCATTGAAGTTCATATGTCATGCTGTGTTGTAGCTTACGGAGTGTATAGTTCTTCTCGTGATTCATGACATGCGCACGTTGCACTGACGTCACGACAGTACAAATTGCAACGTTAAGAGTCCCTTATGTGACGTTATTTTAGAGTCTACTGACTGACTGACAGACAACACACTACTGTTTAGTGGTGCAAGTGGTTAAAATAGGTGACCACTCCTGGTGACCTTCTGCCCCCTTTCGGGGAAATAACTACAGTCATGGCCAAAATGTTTGCATATTTTGTAACAAATAAAATCATTATTACTACAATGGAATACAAATACACTTAGCACTGTCAAATGCGTGTTATATTAAACATCTGCACATGTAATTTATATAATGAGACAGGTTCTATGGGCATCATGACCGATTGATTAGAACAGCAAACAATTTTATCAGACACCTGTAGAAAGATGTGTAATTCAGCATTTTACCTATAACAACACAACCTTACCAAAACATATGTGATGACAAAATATAACATCAAATTATCATAAATAGCGTCTGTGGCCTTATATGAGTTCCTATTAAACATTCACTACTTGACTGGCCCTCCTCATACTCTAATAAGCTCTGCAAGGCGACGTGGCATGTTGTCCATGAGGTTATTGGTGTAATCCACCGTGATTTCAACCCAACTTGTCACTAGAAGGCACCGCGACTCAGCTACAGTAGCTGGTTTAGGGTCTTGGTTAGCTATTTTATGGCTTAGTTCTGCCCAACAGTTCTCAATTGGATTACAATCTGGAGACTTTGCTGACTTTGTAACGTCTTCCTGATAGAGATAATCCTGTACAATACCTGCACTGTGGGGAGTGTAATTGTCATCCTAGAACACGAAGTTATTGTCAAATCTTGCCCTAGCATATGGCAGAAATATTTTCCCTGGAGGATATGAAGAGCAGCTTTTTCCACCATAATGGATAGCTGCCCAAACATGTGCTGCACCACCTTCTGTGTGTTCTCTATGGGAAAGACAGTCTTTCCTCATATGTTCTCCAGGCAAACGACGAACACGAACCCTACCATCAGCTTTTACAAGCCGCAACATGACTCATCTGAAAAGATGACATGTCGCCAGTGTCTTAACTGTATGTTGGCGTGCTGTCTTGCCCAAGTAACACAGTGATGGTGACGAATTCTGGTTAATATGAGTTTGCAGATAGGCCTTCTTGCAAAATAACCTTGTTTGGTCAGTCACCTATTCACTGTTCTTCTGGATACCCTTGAATGAATGTATTCATGCCATTCCTGTCGTAAGGTATCACAAGACTTCTTTCGACCTTGACGTTTAACCTCGAACAGAAGTTTTTCGGCGTCTACCAGTCTGATAACGTTTCAGGATTCTGGGTACAGTACACTGAGGGTACCCTACTGTTCTGGCAATGTACCTTTGCTGCATACCATTTCTGGACAGGCGAACAATTTGACACCCTATAACTTCTGGCACGTGATGAGGCATGATTCTACATCTGTGTTGATCTGTTTCGAAAAAGCTTATACTAATAGCACAACCTTTTATACAAAAAAGGTGTGTTTGTGTGTTTTGACGAAGACATGCTCAATACAACTTATACAGATCAGAATAAACGACTCGTAGATGTTTGTCCGATCATACGCTACCTTCTCTGTTACTAGTCAGACATTTACTCAATAAGTACTCCATTTAAGTAGACAATGATATCAATATAGAACAGTACGCAAATATTTTGGCCAAGGCAGTATATATATATATAACTTTCTTCGAATGTAAAAATCCCTATTGCGTTTCTTAATTACTTTCTCAGAATATAAGTCGCTTTGTTTTAGTTTTTCAGTAATTTGACAGGATATAAATATATTTATTTCCTTTTGCAGTTAATTTTCACATATTTCATGTATTAACCATTTTATTGATATTATGTCAAACTTTATCACACATACTGTTATATAAAGATGTACAGATAAGAATATACGGAAAGCTAAACTCTAAATTGGTTGCAATGGGTGTAGGAATTGTCGCTGATTGGTACGCTTGTCAGAAGTATGTTGTTATATTAACAATTGTCAGTTCTTATTTAAAATACAGTGTGAAGTTCTTGCAAATTTGAGGTAACCAAGTGACACAGCGGTATGTGTGCAGACTTACAACGCTAGAAACCAGGTTTCGATACACGTGGTTGGCAGAGCCCATTGTGTAGCTTTGTGCTTGAACTACAAACAAACAAGCAGAGTCGGGTGGTCCTGTTGTTATCTATTACGTTTCATTGTGCTTAAATTACACATTTTTATTACACGAGAATTACACCGAGTTCTCGCATACTTTGGTGGTTTCCTGTCCGTCCAGGATTATGTCTAGAAATTTATGATTTAAAAACCATGAGGCTCTTGCAAGCACATTGTATTGGTCTCCTGTTTCACTGTTTTCAAGGTTCTTGCACACTTATGTATTGCCTGCTTTACCATGTTCTGGTTGTTTTGAATCCCAAATCTATGACGTGTTTTTTGTTTTTTTCATAAATATTTCACATTAATGCCTTTTATCATAAGAAGCATGCTTAATCGACATGTAAGCTGTTGCTCTGAATTATTCAGGGACGTAATCAATGAAAAGAATCGGTATAGTTTGTTTTGTTTTCAATTAATGATGATTGAAGCACTACTGTCTTCCGTTATTGATTATTCCGTCATTGTTCTCGTTGCTTTTGCTCGTTTTAAAATATATATATATAAAGGACCCACAAGTGCTCCACCTCCTACCAATCACCTTTTTCAAACACTCCCATTTTGGTTTCTGGGAGGGTTAACGCTCTGGATTCTAAATTAATTATTTTTTTTACCACTGTAAGTGTTTAGTAAGTAACCGTATAACTTTGGAACATCGATAAGTCTATTTTCAGATTATCTCCAAATGGCTATTCCGCTGATGATATCTGGCTGTAGGCGGAAGTGCG